TAATATTAATTATAATTAATTATTAATTATATTATAATTAATTATTAATTATAATTAATTATTATTAATATTATTTGCTGGCTGTGACTACATGTTATTATTACTGACTTCCTGGCCTGGTATGATGGGTCACACTGCACCACATCCCTATACGGGTCTTGGTGTTACGGGTGAGGGCGAACCTGTGTGAAGGCAGGGTGCTGGAGTGCAGAGTCGGGTGGGTAGCGCTGCTACGTGCAGCCCCAGGCTGTGTACTGCTCCACTCCACGGCAGTGTCCCTCAAATAGAAGATTCCCCACCCTCCACTGAGTTGGCGGGATGCTGCAGTGGGCCTGCCCTGCTTTCTCAGACCTATTCTCCCAGGGACAAGCCCTGCACACATGGATCGGTTAAGGGCTGGGCTGTGTGGCAGACAGTGACAGTGCCCACTGGGGACCCTCCACGTGGAGTGGCCCCATCTTCTTGCATGTGCCTGCACCTCTACACCCAAGACCTCTCTCCTACCAGCTCTGGCCAGCCTGAAGCACCAGGGTGCGACTGTCCCTCACCTTTCCCAGTTCTCCCCATAATCATGCTCCAGTCCTTGCCCCCGACTCTGCTTCTGGGGAAACCCCGCCTGGACAGGCAGTGGGTGATCAGCTTGAAGACCGCTGTCCCCCAAGTCGGATGTTGACCCCCATCTCCCTTTGTCCTCAACAGGGTCTCACACAGACTGAAGCAGATCCCCCAGTCCCTGGCCGATGCAAATGGCACCGACCCAGCCCTGATCCTGGCTGAGAACGCGTCCCTCCTGTCCCTGAGCGAGCTCGATGCCGCCTTCTCCGAGCTTCAAAGCCGCCTGCACAACCTCAGCCTGCAGCTGGGGGTGGAGCCAGCATCGGAGGCCGAGGGAGCGGGGCGGGAGCAGGAGGCGGAGGCGGAGACGGAGACGGAGAAGCCATCCCGGCCCTCCTCGGCGCCCCGCCGGCAGCGGCGCCACGTGCTGCTCATGGCCACCACCCGCACGGGCTCCTCCTTCGTGGGCGAGTTCTTCAACCAGCAGGGGAACATCTTCTACCTCTTCGAGCCGCTGTGGCACATCGAGCGCACAGTGTCCTTTGAGCAGCGCGGCGCCAGCGCGGCGGGCTCGGCCCTCGTGTACCGGGACGTGCTGCAGCAGCTGTTTCTGTGCGACCTGTACGTGCTCGAGCCCTTCATCAGCCCGGTGCCCGAGGCCCACCTGACCCAGTTCATGTTCCGCCGGGGCTCCAGCCGCTCGCTGTGCGAGGACCCGGTGTGCACGCCCTTTGTCAAGAAGGTCTTCGAGAAGTACCACTGCAAGGACCGCCGCTGCGGGCCCCTCAACGTGACGCTGGCCGCTGAGGCCTGTCGCCGCAAGGACCACATGGCCCTGAAGGCCGTGCGCATCCGGCAGCTGGAATTCCTGCAGCCTCTGGCCGAGGACCCCCGGCTGGACCTGCGTGTCATCCAGCTGGTGCGCGACCCCCGCGCTGTGCTGGCCTCGCGCATGGTGGCCTTCGCCGGCAAGTACGAGACCTGGAAGAAGTGGCTGGCCGAGGGGCAGGACCAGCTGCGGGAGGAGGAAGTGCAGCGGCTGCGGGGCAACTGCGAGAGCATCCGCCTGTCGGCGGAGCTAGGCCTGCGCCAGCCCACCTGGCTGCGCGGCCGCTACATGCTGGTGCGCTACGAGGACGTGGCACGCAGGCCGCTGCAGAAGGCGCGGGAAATGTACCGCTTCGCCGGCATCCCGCTGACCCCGCAGGTGGAGGACTGGATCCAGAAGAACACGCAGGCAGCCCTGGACAGCAGCGGCATCTACTCCACACAGAAGAACTCGTCGGAGCAGTTCGAGAAGTGGCGCTTCAGCATGCCCTTCAAGCTGGCCCAGGTGGTGCAGGCCGCCTGTGCGCCCACCATGCGCCTGTTCGGCTACAAGCTGGCCAAGGACGCTGCCTCCCTCACCAACCGCTCCATCAGCCTGCTGGAGGAGCGGGGCACCTTCTGGGTCACGTAGGGCGCCTGGGCCCCTGTGTGCCCCTCCTCATGAAAGGCTCGCCCTGCCTTCCTTGCACCACGGCCAGGGGGAGACGCAGCCCTGGCAGAGGGCAGTGGCTGGTAGCTGCCCCAAGAGCAGGCAGCCAGCTCCTCCTGCAGCTGTAGGCTTCCAGCTACCAGCTTCTCATGCAGCACGGGCCCTGGGGTTTCTTGCTGAATGGGGCCCCGGTGCCCTTGAGGGCCACCCAGATCTAAGGGGCGCCGGTCCGAAGCGGGACCAGACAGGCTCTGGCCCATTAACAAGCCTCATCTTGTCCCTCTCTCTCTCTCTCTCTCTCTCTCTCTCTCTCTCTCTCTCTCTCTCACACACACACACACACACACACACTAATGCCTAGAGGCTCTGCCGGCTGGAGTCCAAAACACTTAACAACCAGAAGGGGCCTAGGCCCTGACCAGCCACTCAGATCTCCCGCTGTACTCAGTGTTAACCTTTTCCTTCCAGACTGTGGAGACGCCAGAACCTGGGTAGCTGTTTGGGGACAGAACAGGACAGCCCAGGTTGGGGAGGGAGACATTTAAATCTCACCCAGTGACAGTGGTTCTTTACCAACCACTACAAATTGATTTGCTAGTTTAATAAATGGGATAGCAGTGCTGGTTACCAATGAACACCAGCCCAGTACACAGCTACAGGACACACGTGAACATAAAAACACACATACACACCACATGCAGACGGAAGAGTGCCATGAAAACACGAGTCCATGTACGTGTATGTACAGAGAAGCCCCTGTCATGCTCACGGGGTTTTTCTGCATCACACATCTAACAAGGAGTCTTTAATTACATTTTTAGGATTAACTGGAGGGGTAGGAAAAGGAAACATTCCCTGGCTAGCGTTGGGACTGAATGGTGGATGAAAAACTGCCCAGCCTGCACCCCTTGCCCATCCGGTATTCTCAGGGCTACCTCCTCTGACCCTTCCACATCTCTGGGCTGGCAGGTCGGATGTTCCCGCCTCATGTGAGGGCCTGGCCAGCTCCCCTGGAGCTTGTCCGTACTTGAAAGCTGCCTTGGGCCTGACTGGCGGAGGTAGCTTGTTCCCTGGAGGCAAAAGACAGCTCATGGGTCGGGCCTTTTCCAGGCAGGCCTCATCCGGGACCAGGCTAAGAGGTTCAAAGTGCTCTGGGGACATGAGTCACATCAGGATGCGCCCCCCGCCCCCCGAGAAGCCTGCCTTCTCCCTGGGGGTGGCCAGGGGTCAGCCAGTTGGTCCCCACGGTTATGCCGACGTGCAGAAGGATTCTGGGAAGAGCACAGTATTGCTCAGTTCAGGATGAGCTGGGTGTTTTACGTGGGGTTTTAAAGTTATTTATAGCTAGGTGTCTTTCTTGTTTGCTGGCTGTTTTCCCTTTTGTTTCTGCGGGAGCGCTCTGAGCCTGAGGTCCTGGGGGACCTGGGGAAACCAGCAGGGAGCAGGGGACAGGGACAGGAAGGAGTCTTCCCCAGGAGGACCTGAGCCTAGGTGGCCACATGGCAACCCCGGCTCCCACAGGCCTGGGAGCCCCACATGGAGCCGGTCTCAGAAAGCACCAGCCTTCCTGCAGTGTCCCTCGCCCCTCGGGATGGGACAGGCCCTGCCAGGCCCTGCACGTTTCCTCATAACCAAGCAGCAAGTGTCCCCAATTGCTGTCATGATGAGCAAGCACTTGGGGCCCAAAGGGTCACCAGCTCTGGAAACTTGACCCCAGGGACAAGTGGGCCAGGACGTTTCTGACAGGCCCAGCACCTACCCGTCTCTCCCTTGTCCCCCCATGGGGGCGGAAGAGACAGGGCAGGGCACAGCCTCCTCTCTTCCTGGGGGCCCCCTTGGTTGGAGAGCAAACAGCTTTCTTCCCGCCCCGGGCCCAGTCTGCCTCAGCCCTCAGGACAGCACTGAGAACAGACCCCTGGGACTTCCCAGAACTGCAAGTGACTATTTATTTAGTGAAGACATAGATGATGTCATTCGAAGGAACTCAAAGCTGTACCCAAATTAAGAGAGAAGTCATCCTAGAAACCATTCACACCCGTGCTCACAAGGACACCCAGAGGCGGCTCCGGGCACGCCCGCCCTGGGGTGTGGTCTAAGGTCCCCTTGATTTCTTCTGTAGATCTGAAGACATGACACGGAGGACCCTTGCTGCCATATTGCCTTCCCCGGGTGTCTGAGTGAGGACAACCCAAGCAGGCGGGCATGACCTTGAAATATCCCCCTGGGGCTCAGCTGGGGTTTGGCAAGGGCAGTGTAGGGGTAACAACTGGCTTTGCACTCCACAGGTGAGGTTGTAGTCATGAACTTGGGGCTTCCGCAAGGAGCTGAAGGGAGGGAGAAGGTGGTCTGGGTGGTGTCGTGCCCGGCACGGTGGCCGCCTGTCCCGCATCGCTGCTGCCTTTGATGCTGGCAGGCACCAGGAGGCTATAGGGCCCCTGTCCCCACCAATAGACCTGGCCAGGTGGGAGGGTGGAGGTGAGGGGTGAGGTGGTCTGGTCCGAACCCTAAAAGCCTCTGCCAGCCCAGAGCCCATTGTCACTGACTAGAGGGCCTATTCCTTGAGAACTGGACTTTGAAGCAGCACAAGAGCAGGTGGTGTGTCCCCAGGGCGGTCCCTCCCCACCCCGGCCATGAGGCCAAAAGTGGGTCCAGGTCTCAAAGGGATGGCGCCACGGCAGGGAGCGAAGGGGCTGTGAGACAGCCGTTGCTCTGCACAAACTGAGGGAAGGAACATGCGCTGAAGTCGGCCCCAAGTTGGTGGCTTTGTTTGTAAAGATCCCTAGGACACCGTCCAGCCAGATGGTAGGGAGAAGGCACGCCCCCTGCCAACTGCCCACAGTATCAGCTAGGGGATGCTACTCTTTATCTCAAGAGCACGAAGCAGAATTGGCAGTGTAAGAGCTTCCAGACTTCGACCCTGTGTCCTTGGGGCCCTGTAACTGCAGGGTGGGGGCACAAATTCGCGATGCGTTTTCGAGGGTACAGACCTGGTGCCACCCTCGCGGCATGGCTCATGTTGTAGCTGGATGCTTAGTGGGGCCGGGATGACCCGGGCAGTCTGCTTCCTCCAGCTTGGCCTTGGCCTGGGCACCCCAAGGGGTGTCCATCTCTTCTGTGTATTCCAGGCCCGGTGTGCCTGGCTCTCCTGCTCCCTCCTGGGTCCTACAAACCCTGGGCTCTGGGCCGTGTTTTAAAAGTGGCCACATGATCCTCTCTGTGGCATCCATGGCCGTGCCATGTACATATGTGTCTACATGTGTGTATGCATAACTCATTCTACTCTGCCTCTGGCACCACCCCACATGGCTCCCACCCCTTTTGTCCCCAGATGTCCTTGCCAGTGGCCACGACCTGCAGTCTCTGGGCAACACCAGGGCTGCCCTTCCAAGAGAGCTGGCTGCCAGCGGCACTCAGGGTCTGCTTTGCAGAATAGAATGTGAACTCATCGCCTAATGGCTTACTTGACTTATTTAATTAAAAATAAAAACATGCAATGAGCAAACTCTGCAGTGTTTCTGTTCCATGTGTTCTCGGCAGCCATTGAGTCATAAAGACATTAATAACAGGAAAAAAAACATTAATAGCAGTAGGAAGGCTGTGGTTTCCAGCACGAAGAAGAGCAAGGGAAGGGGCCGTTCCCCAGGGTGACGGCTGCAAGGGCAGGACGGCACACGCAGGGGCATGAGGAACGTGCCGTATGGAGCCAGGAGGGGGCGGGTGGTGACTGGGGGAGCCAGTGAAAAGGGCAGCATCTGAGAGGAAGTAAACATTCGGGTCTTACGAGGTGGGACAGGAGCACTGGGCAGGCCGGGCATGGCGGCGCACGCCTGTAATCCCAGCACTCAAGAGGCTGAGGCAGGAGGGTTGTTATAAGTTCAAGACCAGCCTGGACTACAAAGTGAGCTCAAGGCCAGCCTGAACTGTATAGCGAGATCCTGTCTCAAAAAGACAAAAAAAAAAAAAAAAAAAAAGCATCGGACAAGCTGTCAGGCCACCTGGGCACAAATCCCAGATCTCCCACCATTTGGCCATGGGACCTTGGACAAGTCCTTTCCATTTCCTGGGCCCCAGTTTCTTTTTGTTATTGTTTTTGTTTCCTGAGACAGAGTCTTACTATGTAGCCCAGGCTGGCCTTGAAGTTGTGATGATCCTCCTGCCTCAGACTCCTGAGTGCTAGGATTACAGGCGTGCGCCACCAGTCATGGCTCCCAGCTTTCTTTTGGAATGAAGGGTACAGGTGGTTTATAACTACTGTTTCCAGGGCTGGGCGTGGTGGTGCACGCTGTAATCCCAGCACTCAGGGAGGCTGAGGCAAGAGGATCATTGAGAGTTTGAGACCAGCCTGGGCTACAAAGTGAGCTCAAGGCCAGCCTTAACTACATAGCAATACCCTATCTAAGAAAAACAAACAAACAAACAAACAAAAAAATATATATATAAAACTACTATGTCCAAAAAAGTCTCTTGAGGGGTTCAGCAGTCAGTGGGAAGGGCAGTCAACACCCTGTCGCCAGAACAATTGTGCAGGGCTATTGACTGGTCTCACTCGTCGAAGACTTCATTCAGCCTTCTGTAAAATCTTGAAAACCATACAAGATGATGCTAAGGACACTTTCAACCAAGAAATCAGATGGAGTCCTTTCAAATAGCAATACACTGCTCTATCAGTCATAGACATTTAGTATGAATTAGATTTCAGCCTGGGGTCACTCCACTCAGCATTGCTATACCAAATATCTGAGCTAATCAGCTTAGAAAGAGAGAAGGTTTATTTTGGTTCACAGTCTTAGAAGTTCCAGTCCATTTCTGGGTGGAACCGTTGCTTTTAGGCCCACCTAAGCTCCCCCTGCAGGGGACAGGCGCCTCCCAGGAGCAGAGAGATTTTTCAGGACACAGCAGATAGAGCTGGTGCGGTTCTGCAAGGCTCGGGGCTTGGTGGCAGGGATGCAGCCACTGTGAAGGGGCCGAGGAGCATGGAGCGCTGGGGACAGTGCTTCCAGCCTCGAGGGAGGGGCAGTGTGGCGAGGACCTGAGCCAGGGGATGGGACGCCTGCCGCCAGCTCTGTATAGGTTTCCGCCATTGTACTGTCTAGGCCTTGGAAACCCAAACTCTTTCCCTCCCAGACCTCAAAATGTTCACGCCTGTCCTGAGACAGCCTGGCCTGAATAGCGTCCCCTCTGCTGTAGGACGGGATATGGTCAGCTTAGCTTCTGGGGGTGGGGGTTCCTGTCCCAAATGACCCCCTGGAGGACCAGACTGCCCTAATCAGAGTGGAGGAGCTGGACACTCCACTCACCAGCCCGCAACCCCCAGCCCGCCGGAAGCCCCCTTTCCTCCCCTCTCCTCCCTCTCACGCCCCGTGGGCCGCTCACTCTTCCTTCTTTACACCCCGACTGTCCAGCCCTGGGGAGGAGCCGGGCACCCCACGCGGGGCCCTGTGACAGCAACAGTCACCTGCGGCCTGTCAGAGAGGCAGCGTGATGGGCAGGGGCCCGGGGCCTGTGGCCGGGTAGGTGTGGCCACCCTGGCCCAGCTGCAGATTGTCTGGGGTGTGTTGGAGGGGCTGCGGTCCAGGGCCGCCCCTGGGGAGTCACTGTGCACGTCAGCTCACTAAAGGCTCTGAGAAGGCCTGCTTTCCTTTGACCCACGTTAAGGATCTCTTCACAGAAAGCACCATTTGTATGGGTGGAATTCTCAGCATGATTTTCCCCCAAACAATGGCATTGTCAAGACTGCACTCTACAGAACACTTGTAGCCACCAGGAGCCTGAGGGCTGAAAGACTAGACGCAGATAGGAAGATGTGGGTGAGGTGTGTAGGGAGGAAGAGCCCGGGCTCTGGGCTGCGGTCTCCATCCCACCTTCACTCCAGCTCCCTGAGTGACAGGACAAAGGTGGGAGGTGACCGCAGCCTCAGTCACCGTGGCCCCCATGCCCGGTCTGCCCCCGGAGGAGCCCCTGGGCACCAGAAACTCTTGGCGTGTGGCTTCCTCAACTCGGCCCACAGCCGTCCTAGTTCTCCCAGAGCTGGAGTGTGAGACCACTCTCCAAGGAGGCCTTTGTGAAACAGCTGCTCAGAGCTGCCAGCAGTAAACAGGCTCCCTGGAGGTGCGATCCCCGCGTAGCCAGCAAACCCTCTGCTATGGGCCGCTGGGGGTTTATTGGAAGAAGCAGCAGGTAGTAAAGGCTCACAGGAGCGGGCTCCCCAGAAAGACAGAATGGGGAGGAGGGGAGGAGGAAGGAGGGAGGAGGACACGGGGTGATGATAGAGGGGTGTGTTCTGCTGCCTCCCGCGGTCCAGACAGACAGCGGTGCTGCTGGGAGGTTGCTGGCACCCAGGACTTAGGGGGCTTTCAGGGTCAGGTCAAGATACACACGTAACCTTGAATCCCGCCGGCTGTGGGCTGGCCCAGCCCATGGCTTGAAGCCTGCACAGGGCTTGTTTTTAACAACTGTCATTTGAAGCCAATTCTCAATGATTTATAGCAGTGAACACCCATATCAGGAAAACAGAACAAGCACAAACAACTTAATGTGGAACCTCAGACTTCTAGAAAAAGAAGCCAAAAGCACATACGAGGGAGGAAATTATAAAGAGCAGAGCAGAAATTAATGCAATGGTAAAAACAGTACCAAAGAATCAATAAATCAGAGAGTTAGTTCTTCGAAAGATTAAATAAAATCAACAAACCTGTAACCAACCTTATCTAAAAAAAGGAAAGAAAAGACTCAAATCCACACAATTAGGAATGAAAAGAGTAAAATCACAATGGACCCTGCAGAAATCCAGACCATCTATACCTGCTTCGAAAACTTGTAATCTAATAAGATGGAAAATGCAGAAAAAATGGACAGGTTCTTAGATACACATGAATT